CCGATCCGTGTCCCCATATTTCCATATTGGGATCGATGCCTGCGTCGATATACTTCTCGACAAGGTTCCGGTCATTATTTGTGATAAGGGCGTCTAGTCGAGGTAACCTTGCCATGTTGTCTCTGTCGGTATCCTCGGATGTAGCACGTCTGAAAATGTTTTCATCCAAACCCCTATAAACATATACATATTTGCATACAGTAGTTGCATGGTTCAGGGCTGCCAAGGTATACTTTTCTCGTAGGACCGCCTTGAAATCCTTGCAAGTGCTTGATAAATAGACGACGGATATAGGGTCCAGCCATTGAGTAAGACGCAACAATATCTTGCGGGGAAGCATTCTCAGATGGCAGCTGGCTTCATGCATGGTAAAGGTAGACTTGGTTGATGCGAAGAAGTAGGTTAAATCCTTGTGATGATGCGTCTGGGTAAGAAGAACACAAGTAAAACAGCTAACGAGAACGTAAGAAGAAGAGTATAAGAGCGCATTATATGTACATTGGCCTGCTCCTGACTATTTGCTTGAGCAGATGTTGTATGGAGGAAATTACCTATGATGAATAGTGAAATAAAGAGATCTTGAAGCCTGCTTTAAAATATAGGACAGCATGCAGCCGCAGACAACAGAGTGCTCTTAGCAGCCATGTAATGAAGAAGCCTCGTCTCATTCACACTTTTGTGGAAAAAGCAGTGTAATCTTGGCAACAGAGGCATTATTCTACTTCTTTGTTCACCAAATGGCGTGTTGTTGACGGCGTTGTCCGGGAAAAAACCTATTTATTCTTGCACTGGCGCTTAGAAGAGTAGCATGGATCATCCATTACGCCCCGTCTTTCCCATGTCCATAATTTCTGTGTGTTCACTTCATCGACCGACTCAGCCACGCCTTACATCAAAGGAAAATGGTTCTCTCCGTACCAGACTACTCTCATCTCTCACTCTCATTACTATAGTTCAATGGTCAGTTTGAACAAAGAGATTAACAGGCTGAAGCAGCGCCCCGGAGACATCAACCTGAACTCACGTGAAATAGAGACATGCTCCGCGGGCAATGGACCATCCCGAGGCGTAATTGACGCCACATTAGGCCGGAATTCATGACGGAGAGATCACCCGCAACAGCATCTATGGGGAAGAGCCGCAACAATTGCAAACCTGGATGTGGTGAGTAGTTTTCACTGCTCATTCACTGCTCAACTAAATATGAATTGGTAAACTTTCATGAGGCCTGCTCCCATCGCAGGTAATCAAGATCACAAGGGAACAACCGGTCACTGCACTGATCTTCTTGAGGAACACAGCAGAAGACAGTCTTCCAACCCAACGTTAAATTTGCGAATTTGCGATGCAGCTTCCCAAAGTGGTTGCTACGTGACAGGTTCTTTCCCGGAAGAGAAACTCAATCCTTGCTGTTTCATGATTTTCTGCAACACAACCATGGATCCGTACAAAGCCACAAAGGGGAATATGTCACCGGAATTAACGACCAAGTAAAGTTCAGCCACATCATTCTTCTTTTTTATGCATACCTTCCTCGTGGGGTATTGTTCTCGCCTATCAGTCCGACAACTGGCGGTTATAGGGATAGCTGCCTTGGAGAAATCACGATCTGTGCGCACCGATATTGTTTTGAGAGGCTGGAACTAATTCCAGTCAACTTTGAAATATGGCGGGCGTTCGGAAATCGTCACGATGCGCGCATGGCAAAACATCATGGTGATTTCATTTGATTGTACCTATCAATCAAGTGATGATAGGTTTTAAATATGGCAGGACTGCATGAAAGAAATAGATGTTTCACTAAAGCTATCCAACAGGCACATTCAAGATCTTCTGACTTCCCCCTCAAGTCCAAAAGGGCTTTTGTGAGGCCGACATACCGGGCAAAGTCATGGACTCTCTTTTCTCTCATAACGTCGCTATCGATCCGGGAGCTCTGGCAATAGATGATGGATTACATCAATGGTCGTATTCAGACCTCGACCGTGAAGTCCAGCGTATCGCATCCCTTCTGAAGACCCTGGACCTACCTCCAGAGGAGCCCATTTGTATCTTGCAAGGTGCGGGCAGTGAAACCATCATTGCCCAGCTCGCCGTCATTCGGGCGGGCTTGACATGTGTACCCCTCGAGCCTTCGATTCCAACTAGTCGCTTGATGAACCTCCTGAGAGATGTCGGAACACAGTACATTCTATCTAACCATACTTTGGACATTGACAATGATAAGGTCATTATCCCCATCAGTGGCGAATACCACCCACTTACGAAGGCAGTCCGACCGGAGACAGCCAGTGTTAAGCGGGTGCAACTGAAAGGTCTGCCCAACTATGATTATCGAAGTCATATCCTCTATACATCAGGGTCCAGTGGAAAGCCAAAAGCTGTTCAGATTCCAGAGAGTGGCATCCTCCACCTTATGTTTAAAAGTCCTGCCACGCCGCTTCTGCCATCGGACCGTGTGAGCGTATTTAACAATCCGGGCTTTGATATGTCAGTTTTTGAAATATTCGTCGCTCTAATGTCAGGCTCCACGCTGGTCACAGTGCCCCGGCCGGTGATCACGGATCCGTTGGAAGCTAAGAGTTTCATCACGCAGAAAAATATCTCTGTATCTTTCCTAACTACTTCACTCTTCTCAATAATTGCACAAGCATGTCCCAGTGCGTTTACTGGTTTGAGACATGTCCTCATTGCTGGTGAAGTAGCCAATATGGCCAGCATGAAAGCTGTCCTTGAATCGCCTAATCCACCTCAACATCTGTGGAACGCATATGGCCCCACTGAAACGACGATCGTGTCAACAATGCATTCAGTTACGGCAGATGATTTGCGCTACGACAGTATCAGCATCGGTACGCCATTCGGCAATACAAGGCTTTTCCTTGCTGATAAAAACCTCAATATCATAACCGAGCCCGGAAGCATCGGCGAGATACTCCTAGGCGGACCTGGACTGACAGCAGGATATATCGGACGCCCTAAAGAAAATGAGGAGCGATTTTTCGTCGATAAAGCAGGGTACCGACTTTACCGAACTGGTGACTTTGCCAAGTGGCGTCCCGACGATCCAACTTTGCTCGAGTTTATCGGTCGTGTAGACCTGCAGGTTAAGCAGTGCGGTTTTCGCGTCGAACTTGGCGAGATCGAGCAGTCATTCCTCAGTAGTAACCGGCTACTAGCCGCGACGGTGTGTCAAATTCATCCAGAAACTGCCGAAGACGAACCCTTCCTCGTTGCATTTCTCATTCCGGCTGTTGCTAGTACTATTCAAGCTACAGACATGCTCGAGTTCATCAAGCAAAAGGCACCAGTTTACGCTGTGCCGCGGGATATTGTCTTCTGTCCGCACTACCCCCTAACAGACCATGGCAAGGTTGATCGCAAGGCATTAGCGAGGCAGTATGCCAGTCACTGTACCAAGATTCAGGAAATTCTACCAACGAATGAAGACCCAACTACCACAGCCAACATCCTCCGAAAGATCTGGACCTCCGTTCTCGGCCAACAGCAAATCAACGACGAAGACAATTTCTTCTCCACTCTTCGAGGATCGTCCCTTCAAGCGGCTGCTATGATCTCCAGAACCAGGAGGCAATTCGGAAACACCGTCTCCATGCGCACATTGTACGAAAACCCTCGACTAACGGACCTAGCCAACCGCATCGACAACTCCATTCAGGACAATAACCCCAACGACCTCGACCGCTGGATGACAGACGCCCACACAGCCGATGATCTCCACACCGTCCCCAATTGGCAAGCCGCCGAAGAAGGCCGCATCTTTCTCACAGGCGCGACAGGGTTCGTAGGCGCCCACTTCCTCAGCCGCTGTCTCGCAATGCCCACCGTCAAGGAAGTCGTCTGTCTAGTGCGAGGAAAATTCGGCATCTCAGCCAGCGAAAGGGTCCAATCAGTCCTGGAACGCTACAACCTCTGGGACAAGACCTCACACTGCATCCACAAACTCACCGTCCTTAACGGCGACATCACCATGAGACATCTCGGTCTAACCGAGGACATGTTCACCTGGCTGACCAACTGGGCCAGCGTGGTCTTCCACCTCGCGGCGAAAGTCAACTATCTGGAACCATATGCCGCGCACTACGATGCTAATGTCCTTGGAACCCGTCACGTCATGGAAGTGGCTACCTCCGGTCGCCGCAAGGCGTTCATGTACATGTCTAGTATTGACGTCTTCGGGCCAACAGGCCACGTCCTCGGCACAGAGAAGGTCTTCGAGGACGGTCCGCTGGAGCCGCATCTCCACGCACTGAAATATGAGCTCGGCTATGCGGCTACGAAATGGGTCTCGGAGATGATGGTGCGTCGGGCGCGCGAGCACGGTCTGGCAGCTATGATTTTCCGCCCGGGGTTAATTCTAGGCGATGTCGAGCAGGGATGTGGGAATCCGGATGATTTCTTCGCTCGTTTCGTCATGGGATGTATTCAAGTTGGTGCGTTTCCGCATCTACTAAATCAGCGCATGGAGTATGTGTCGGCGGATTATGTGTGTGATGCGGTGCTGCATATCGCTGCTAATAATGGAAATCTCGGAAAGACGTACAACCTCGTTGCTCCTGATGAGGCGGACTCGGTCGATCTTGAAGAGACGTGGCGGATTATGAACCAGGCGGGGTACCCGGTTGAACATGTGGAATACTGGGATTGGGTGCGTTTGCTGCAGGAAAGGGGTGATCCGGATAATCCGTTGATGCCGTTGATGTCGCTGATGCAGGAGACGTTGCAGGATGGATTGTCGTGGTTGGAGATGCATAAGAATACGACGCGTTATGATTGTTCCAATACGGTTGCGGCGTTGAGGGATGCGCCGGGGATTAAGTATGTGCCGTTTGATGTGGGTATGTTGACCAAATTGCTGGGCTTTTGGAGTCAAAAGGGGTTTTACCAGATGTGAATATGCTTTTTCGTTGTAGATGCATTATTTACATTTCTAGATTTATAGAGTAGAGCATGGTTCATGTGCATAAAGACTGATTCAGCACGAGATGAAATCATAAAAGCAGGGACTAAAGAGCAATGCAAAAAGCTAACAAATCACCAATATCCATCGATACAATCTTCCAAACCCCTAAAACAAAACCATATTTTAGCCACTCATAAGTACTTACAACCGACTCGGAACGAAGTACGGGATGTTCTTCGACTCGTACAGATCCTTGTGGTCGGCCTTGATGATATCCGCTCCCTAGATACTCGTTAGTCCTCAAATCACTAAATAATTATTTCATGAGAGAAAATATTACTAACCTTTTCGCCAATCATGTACACCGAGTTCTGGATCCGACAGTCCGGAATCACAGGGATGATGGAGGCATCTGCAATGCGGAGATTGCGCACTCCGTGCACGCGGAGCTTCGAGTCGACTACACCCTGGTGGATGCTCTTGGAGAGACGGGCAGTGCCGCATGGGTCTATCATACCATTATTAGTATCCATTCGTAATGAAAAGAGAGTTCTGTGGAGACTTACGGAATCCAGTCTGGCTGCGATCCAAAACAGCGCGCTTCATCTCGTCATCCGACTGAAGAGGCATCTTCCATGGGTACTCCGACAGGACAATATCCTTGAAGCCGGCACCGCTGGTCAGGAGATCATAAGTCCATCTGACGCCCTCGCGCATAGCCAGGATATCGAGGTCATTGCCGAAGAAGTTGAGGTTGATGTTAGGTTGCACCAATGGGTTCGAGTTGTTGAGCGTCACCTCACCCTCTGACAAGGGGCGCAGCAAATCGACAATCACAGTCATGTGGTTGCCCTCTTCCGGGACGGGGTAGTGCCATTGGAAGGCGGTGCTGAACATGCCGACGAAGTCGAGCTCGAAGTGAGGTTGTCCTGCGGGTCCGAAGGGGTCCAGTCCGCCGTTGGCCGCCTTGGCTTCGCGGTAGGCGGGGTATTTCTCGAGGCGTTGGTCAATGCGAGGGAAGCCGACGAGTTCCAAGAGTCCGGAGCTGATGGGACCGGTCTTGTCTTTCTTGTACTGGGCGATGGCTGCGTTGTTGGTGGGGCCGGGGCGGAGAATGTGGTCTTCCAGACCGTAGCCGTCCTTGAGGCGGAGGACGAAGGGTACGATGGGGTGGTCGAGAAGATGCTGGCCGACGTGGGGAGATTCGACGATGGGAGTGATGTTGTGTTTGGCTAGCTCTGCGGCGGGACCGATACCACTCAGCATCAGGAGCTTGGGGGTCTCGAATACACCCTGGGAGAGGATCACTTCGCGACTGGCGTAGACGCTGATCTCGGTGTTGTAGGCTTCACTGACGACGGTCACTCCGGAGCAGACACGAGTGACGGGGTCGATGATCAGCTGCTTCGAGTGGGCTCCGTATAGGATGGTCACGTTAGGCTTGTCCTTCAGGTAGAGGAAGCTGCCTTGGCGCTGGCCATTATAGATGGTGTCCACGCAGTGAGTAAGACCGCGCATCTCACCGGAGTAGATATCCTCGGTCAGCTTCTCGCCCTTGGAGACCCACGCTTGGGTCAGTGCGTCACGGAAGGGTTGCATTTCGGGGACCAAGTCGGCATGGGCGATCTGGACGGGGCCTCCGGTGCCGATCTTGCTTAGCTCGGCCGGGTAGAGCTTCTCATCATCATGATAGGTTGCGCACTTGCGGAGATACTCGACGCAGTTGTCCCAAGTCCAGTCGTGGCCGCCAAAGGCTTCCCAGTCATCGAAGGTGGGCTTGGAGCCGGGAATCCAGGTGAAGTAATTGGCACAGGAACTTCCACCGAGAGCCTTGCCACGGGTGTTGGGCTTTTCGACACGCTCGTAGTCGTCGCGCTTGATCATGGTGGTCTTATAGGCCCAATCATACTTACTTCCTCGGAGGTTGAAGGCCTTGGAGGGAGTGGTGATCTCGTCAACCTGGTCAGGGTTGGGAATACCGGCTTCAACGACCAAGACGCGGACGTTGGGGTTTTCCGCCAGGCGACCTGCTACTGCATTGCCTGCCGTGCCACCACCGACGACGATGAAGTCGTATTCGTTGCCGTTAGATACCATTGCCATGATGATGGATTGGAATCTAAAAGATGAGATAGATGATGTTTAGATGAGAGATTGTAGGAAAGAGTAGTAGAGATGCGATGAGATGAACTGTGATGATGATGACGGAAAGAGAGCATCAACAAGCGAAGCATCTATCGTATTTATATTCATCATCTTCGATCTTTTCATCGATGAGACTTTTTCTATGTCTGCCGACATCCGAGTCATCGCCGTATAGTCGAAAAACATGCAGCTTTGGTACCTGAGATGGCTTAGTGGATTCGGCAGCGCCCGGTGAGGGGAGGCCCACAGTTCTACTGAAGCTACGATGGAATTGTAGATCTGATCTCCAAAGGTCTAGTCGTTGGATCGTGTGTTGCTTGATCGATATTTTTTTTACCCCTCATGCGGGGACAATTCAAAGCAAAGTTGAGTAGGGACAGTTCTGCTATGAGGGTAAAGTAGGTGAACCCTGACCGGCAATGCGGCATCCACGGGACGCAGCTGTCAAGGTGTCAACTGGCATCACCACGCCATATTCTTCCCATCCATGGTTATACGGTGAAATATTATTCAAATGACATCTTCGAAACTCTCAGCCACTGCGGTCCTCATTGAAATGACAGCATTGGAGAACAAGGAGAGGGGAAGAAAAGCCTCTGAGGGGAAAACCAAACACATGCGAAGGGGAAACTCGGCCACCGGTCGGCAATGGCTCGGTCCGGGATTCGGCATTGGCTCGGTCACCACCAGCTGCAAAAAATACTCCTCAGTTTGACCGGAAATAGATTCCTTGTCATATACTTCCCCTCACCACTGTGTACACCGAGATACTGTGGCATTGATTTGGAGAATTGACTCACTTTGAGCGATTAAAAATGTCTATGTTGGCTGATTCACCATGGACGTCACAATCTGCGGCTGCTGGTAATATATATACGGGTTGACCAGCAACTGCTGGTCAAACAGAATAGGCATCTCAAGAATCATTATAAGCCTTTATATCCGAGCTTCAAAGATATTGTTCTGTCAAACACTTTTGCACCATGTCTAGACCTGTTTATACCTTGGCAGAAGGTCCGTTTCTCGATCCTACACTCAATTCCATGATCTGACCCTGCTAGGCCAACCCATCCCTGACCCCTCCGTGAGCACTACGCTGCCGACCATTGGTGGTGGAGGCATCACAACCCTAGGAGACACTCTTCTCCTCGAGACTCTAGCTCATTTCAACCGTGAGCGAATCCCAGAAAGGTAACTGTTCACTTCCTCCACCATCAACCCCCCTTGCCAGTCCATCTTCTAACCAACCAAACCTCTGCAGGGTCGTCCACGCGAAAGCAGCCGGCGCATGGGGAGAATTCGAAGTGACAAACGACGTGTCATCCCTAACCTCCGCTAAGTTCCTCAACGGTATCGGAAAGAAAACCCCCGTTTTGTTTCGACTCAGCACGACGGGTGGTGAAAAAGGCAGTGCGGATACTGTGCGAGATGTGCGTGGATTTTCAGTCAAGTTCTTCACCGAAGAGGGGAACCATGATATTGTGGGAAACCATATCGTATGTATACACACCTACCGTTTTTTGATGTGTTGGAAAGAAAGACTTCGAGGGTGTGTGTGCTAAATGATGCCAATAGCCTGTCTTCTTCGTCCGAGACCCTATCCGCTTCCCCTCCCTGAATAGAAGCCATAAACGGCACCCTGCCACGAATCGTCCGGATTGGACCATGGTATGTTCCTCATCCTCACGCCATATATTCACTATTCTACCTACCACATAACATACTAACCACCTCACCTTCTGGGGTACCACAGTTCTGGGACTTCCACACCAATCAACCCGAAAGCGTCCACGCATTGCTCCATCTCTTCGGCTCGCGAGGCATTCCAGGCTCCATTAGATCGGTCACTGGCTTCGGCGTACACACCTTCAAGCTCGTATCCCCCGATGGCACCTTCCGGTACTGCAAGTTCCATTTCCGGCCTGAGCTCGGCGGAAAATATTTCTCCGGACAAGAAGCCGCCCGGATGGCCGGAGTGGATGCTGATTTCCATAACTTGGATCTTTGGGATGCTATTGCACGGGGAGAGTATCCTGTTTGGAAGCTGTATGTGCAGGTTATGGAGCCCGAGAGGGCGGAAGAATTCGGACGGGGACTGTTTGATATTACAAAGATTTGGTCGCATAAGGAGTTCCCACTCATTGAAGTAGGTAAGATGACCTTGAATAAGAATGTGAGTTATGTCTGTTTGCTATTTGGTCGCACAGTTCTGGGAATGGGTGGATTGTCGTGTGCTAACATAATAATAGCCCGGAAATTACTTCGCCGAAATTGAACAGGCGGCGTTCTCGCCATCCAATATGGTGCCTGGGATTGCTCCCACACCCGATCCCAGTAAGTTTTCATTGCCTTGCTGATTTGCATTTCCTTGATTGTGTTTCTGGTTTGTTGGTCATGTCTCTCTCCCTTGGTTCATGCATACCAATCTTGCGGAGTTGTGTAACATGCACTGATATCCCTGGCTTTATGTAGTGTTACAAGCCCGCATGTTTGCCTACCCCGACGCTCAGCGTTACCGCCTTGGGGTCAATTACACCCAGCTCCCGCCCAATCGCGCTGTTTGTCCTGTCTACGCGCCGTTTGAGAGGGATGGCTTTGCCACAGTGACGAAGAATTATGGCGGTGATCCGAACTATGTGCGCAGCTCGCTTTCTCCCGGTGTTGTGAGTCGAACTGCCGCCCAGGTACGGCACAATGAGCGGATTCTGTCATTCGCGTTGGGCCAGAATGAGATTCCAGTGGATGAAGAAGATTTCGTTCAGCCACGGGACCTCTGGAATAGGGTCTTTGATGAGACAGAAAGGCGAAAGTGGGTTGCAAACCTTGCCGAGACGCTGGCTGAGGTTCCTGAGCCACTGAAGGAGGCTGTGGTGAATATGTTTGGGAGAGTCGATGGTCGCTTGAGGGAAATGTTAGGGGCAAAGGTCAGGGATATTTCGCGACTGTAGAGGTGAAGGGGTCGTGATACTTGTGAATGTATGGGTTGCTGAGAATTCAGGGCAAGGGAAATTGTATGTTCGATGGCTACCTATTCCTATTTCCAAAGCCTTGTTAGCGTCTAATCTGAAATCTGATAAGTAAGGGTCTTGGCCCGAGGCCAACTGCAGTAAAATTGCACTTGGAAGCTTGCCACTGGTCTGTGAGGTTAAGCACGGTTAATCGGGAAAGGGTTTCCGTTGATCCACGTTCTTCAGAGCCATCTTGAAAGCTTTTCCGGGGCAGCGCCACCTTGAAAGCCCCGGAAAAGCTTTCTTCTCGTTATACGTGGGTGGATGCTCAACAAACTCAAATACTTGGCATCGAACGACTGGGATAGAGTCTGCCAAGTCAAGGGAAAGGATTCCACTCTGGAGCTTCTCTGTTACTCAGCAGCGAGTGTCCGTGAGCAGCCCACGTGGTCTGATGGATTTCCTGGTTGCATATTTTCTGGCCTGATGACCCCCAAGGGACGGCACGGGCAGCGCCCAAATTGCAATGTGCACGAAGCCCCCAACAGGACTGCGGGGCAAGCTCAAGTGACAGGTCCGACGGCCAGATCCGCAGTTCCGTCGGCGCAGAACTCATACGTGCTCGGTTGGTGATCTAGGGGATACATATGGAGGTGATAAGCGAGGTGGGACTGGAGATGTTGGAGACGAGGATAGCCGATGTGATCTTCGCGCCGGTACCGACACTTAGCCGGATTTGGCTTTGCTGGTAGGATTGCAGGCGATTATTAGTGCTCGAGCATCATGGGGCCTAATCTGGCGGAGGAAAGCAAGGGACTCTCTTGCAGATGCTAAAACGAAGCTGCTGCCGGGGTTTGACTGTTGGGTTGTCGTGCGAGTCGACCTTCGTTGAATTGGGTTTGACCAGGTACTTGAGATAGGAGGATTCAAATCGAACTGATGTGCATCCTTTCAGACCCAAACTTTTCGGGTATGAAGATTTGGTCATTTACATCAAGTCAAAAATGCCATTGATAGAAGACGAAAAGGAATTTGGAGAAGGTGAAATAAGCGGAACCCTTTCCCATGACGGCAGGTCCCACGACTACAACTAGTGGTTTTGCGAACCATGGGTCTAGGGCCATTGGAGTTCCACTGATGACACGGCGGTGGCACAACGGTCAACCAGCTGAAGAAAATCTCTGAATCAGGCGTGATCTGTCTTGTTGGGGTCTTTTTCCTGTATTGGCTCTGAGACTGTCCCTGGAAGAACTTATGTAAAGATCATGCTATACACATTGACGCATGGATCATCATAGACAGCGTGTATGAAGAATCTTTTGCAAAACACCTATGCCGGATAGGCTTGGGTAAGAGCAGTAACCATAACAAGACCCTGGTATTGTTGAAACAATTAAGGTTGGAATATGACAGCTCATGAGAGACCAGCAGATATAATTAGGGCCAAAGAGTTAGCTCATTTCGATCGGAAATTCGCCCAGCCTCATAATCACGCAATTAATCGTGCAATTGGAGGAAATCGGAGTAATGGCGCAGGTTAGATTAAGCGAGCTCCCTAGTACGATTCACAACCGAGTAGCCAGTGCACCATCTCCGGCTATTGGCGATGGGCTGTCTATAGCTCGGAGTCTAATCATTTAGGCTCATGCGTTTTAGCATACCATGGCTTCACCGCAAAAGACCCTAATCGATAGAAGGAAACCTTTTTTTCAAGTGTTTACGAGGCAGGAAAGTTGGCGATGAGAGCTGAATATCATCCTGGAATGCTGGAAAGAAGAAGAAAAAGGTGGGACTGTATCGGAAGGCAGTCGGGATTCCCTCGGTCAACTCTCGTACTCTTTGCAACATAAAAGGCCTTCTGTGGAACTCTGGGATGGCGGAACATAATTGCGATTAAGTAACCAATAAATAACAGATACGTACATGGGCTTTGATCTTTTAACTGCAAATGTTTGTTGGACTTGGAAGGAAACAGCGCCCTTCGATAAGCGCGTGCCACGACTTCCCGGCAAATTCGACACAACATGTGGAATGGATGGCAACAACGAATATCTGGGGCTACGGATACCATTTCCGCCAGAAGGCTTTTGGG